CCCACAGTTTGGATGGTCCAGAGTGGGACCTTTGGTGTTGAGGGGCTTTAAATGTCTCCTTCTTGAGTAGTTTCACCTCCCCTGAGTACCTCCTCAGTCAACGTTCCTCAATTATCCAACAAACGAGGCACGAAGCAGAAAGGGGCACAAGGAAAATCTTCCAGGTCACTGCCGGCTCCTGGGGAAAATGCAAGGCAAATAGTCAAGTCATTCAGCTGAGATGTTTTCCCAGCTGCCCCACAATGGTCTCTTGTGTCTGGTCAGGGGTCCCTAAGGATGGAAGGTGTTGCGGAAATGTGGCCAAAGGTGAGTGGAGAATTGAGGTTGTGTCAGGTGCCGGGAGCCCCCGCTCAGTGCCTGTCCTTGATCTTTGCCCACGGGGGTCCCAGCACAGAGGGGCCTCTGAGGTGGGTGGGGAGGGAGGGAGAGTGGGGCGGGAAGGTGCCATCCTGCTGAGGGCCAGCGCTGGGCCCAGGGCAGGGCAGGGCCATCCCTGGGGACAGGGGCACTGGGGCAGCTGTGTCCCAGGGCCAGCCCAGTGTGGAGCCAGAGCCCTGCTGGGCTGCCAGTCCCTGGTCCCCCCTGCCTGGGCCAGCTCAGCAGAGTGGGGTCCGGCTGATGTGGGAAGACACGGTGTGCCCAGCTGGGACAGGGGCAGGGCCAGCAAAGGGCATCTGCCCCTCTGGGCTCTGCTCGGGGAGGGCAGGGCTGGGCCTGCACCACTTGGGGGCTGCAGTGCCCACAAATGGGCTGGAGCCGGGCACTGCCATCACCCCAGCACTTCCCTGGGCCCAGCCCTTGTCTGTCAGGGCCAGCATTGCCCAGTGCTCCCCAGTGCCTGCCCAGACTGGAGATCCCAGTGAACCGGCTGTGCCCATTGCCCGTCAGCTCCTTTATCTCCCAGTTCCCTGTTTCCCTGACCCCGGGGTACTGGTGGTACAAGAAGAGGGTCAGTGCCAGCTCTGCGTTCAGCCAAGGGGCTGGAGTGGGAACAGGGACAATTGTGCTCAGACACGCCGCGTTTGGGGCTGGGTTGAGCTCTGGGGTGTCCCAGAGGGAAAGCTCTGGGAAGGGATGGGCAGGAGGACATGGGAGGATCAGGTTTTGGGGGCTGTTGGAGGATGGATTGTGTCATTGTGGGATTGTCCCCACAGGGTATGCAGCTGCTTTCAGCTCCCTGCCCACCCCCTTGGCACCCCCAGGTGTCTGGGCCCTTCCAGGGGCAGCTGCCCCGTGCAGGAAGCTGGAGGGATGCCGGGGAAGGTGGCTGGATGGGTTACGCAGGCAGGATGGACTCTGTGCCAGGGCTGGGCTTGTGGCCAGGACTGGGGGCTGTGCCCAGCCGGGCTTTGCCCCGGGGGCTCTCGGGGAGGGGGCAGGGAGGAGTCGCGGCAGGGATAAATGTGCTCCTGCCCTTGTGCAGCCTCAGCCAGAGCTGCCCAGGCCCAGAGGAAGATGAAGGTCGCTGTGCTCAGCGTGGCCCTGCTCTTCACCATCTTGCTGAGCCCCCCGGGAGATGCCAAGGTGAGGCCCCCATGCCACAGCCATGGGCTCAGGGATGGGCCCCTTCCCAATCCAGGGGCTCCCCCAGCACTCCCCAGCACCCCCAACCTATGGCCAGGCCACTTTCTTCCGGCCACAATTCCCTCTCTCCTTCCCCTTCCCACAGTTCAACTCCTGCTGCTGCAGCTCCGCTTCCTCACGGGATGCTTGCACCCGGCTCTGTCCTGGCACAGTCCCACTGCTTCCTGCTCTTTCTGACCCCAAATCCCACCTTTTTGGGCTTCCCCATCCCATCCTCTTGGTCCCCTGGGGCATCTCCCCACCATCTCCTCTCTTTCCCAGCCAAGACAAAGGCCCAACCCCAAACTGGGTAGAACTGGGCCAAGCCCCACTTGAGTCCAAGGAGGACAAACAGGTCCAAGTTCCACACTGGGCTCAAGTGGGACAAGGCCTGGTCTGACTGAAGTGGCACCAACTGGGAAATGCCCTGCCATGGCCCATTCCCAGGGCCTTTCCTCCAGGCTTTGCCCTCAATGCCTTGTCTTTCTCCCTGCACTGGTGTCCCCAACTTGCCTGGGAGTTGCAATCCCAAAGAGCCTCGCTCAGCCCGGGGGGCAGTCGGGGCTGGAGGGGGTGGGGACACCCGTGTGCCCCCCCAGCCCCACAAGGTCAACCCCAACCAAACCTTTACTCTCCTCCTACAGCCCTTTGATGCCAGCGGCGCTGCCTGCGGGGGGGTAAGTCTGGGAGTTTGGGGCACCCAGTGTGGGAAGTCGGGGGCACTTTGAGTCCCCCATCCCTTCCTGACACTGGGGACACCCCAGTGACCAGTGATGTCTCCTTGTCTCTCTACAGGGAGAAATCACCAGCGTGAGTACTAGGGCTTGTGCTGGGCCCAGACCCTCCCCTCTGGTCGCCACCACCCTCCAGGGCATCCCAGTGCTCCCCAGTCCACCCCAGTGTGCACCAGGGAGGTCCTTCCTCAGGGCCCCCACTCTATTCCCACACACCCCAGTCCACCCCACCACACACACAGGGCATCATTCCCACACCATTTCTTCCCCTCTTTCTCCTCTAATCCTTCCCCTTTCCCATTACCCATGACACTCATGTCCAGAAATCCCCTTCCTTGACCCCTCAGTGCCAAAGACACTCCCAATCCCTTCCAGTTTTCTCCCTTTCCCCATTTCTCCTGTCCCCACCCCTGCCCTGCTTCATTCCTTGGGTCCCCTCCACTGGAATCCCTTACTCCTCACCTGCATCCCCCACAGTCCCATCCCTTCCACACCCCAATGCCCATCCTGTGGGGTCCCCAATTCTCCCCACTTCACCCTCTTTGGGTCCACTCCTCCTCCCCCTCTACCCTCCCTGCAGACCCTGAATTCCCCTGGCTCTCCTTGTCTCCATCCCCACCCTGGGCCCTGCAGGAACAGGGATCCTGGGGGAAACTGGGTGCAGTGGGGCTGGGGGGAGCAGAAGGGATTTTCTCCCTCAGATCGGGGCCAACCATGGGCTGGGGGGGCTGGGGACACCCGTGTCCCTCCCCCAACCCTACAGGGGCCAATCCTGCTTAAACCTTTGCTCTCCTTCCCAGCCAATCGGGGGAATAGCAGGAGGTGGATGTATTGGGGTAAGTCCTGGAGTTGGGATGTCCCCAGTGTTGGAAATGCGGGGAAATGTAGTACCCTCCATCCCTCCTGGGCCTGGGAACACCCCAGTGACCAGTGACACCTCACACTCTCTCTACAGGGAAGCATACATTCCACTCGAGTGAAGAGGTCTGAGGTGGGTACCCCAAGTTCTCCTGGGCCCAGACCATCCCCTTTCATGACCATGACCCTCCCTGGCATCCCAGTGTGCCCCAGTCCACCCCAGTGTGTCCCAGTACATCCCAGTTTGCCCCAGTCCAGCCCAGTGAGCTCCAGTCCAGCCCAGTGTGTCCCACTCAAGCCCAGTGTGTCCCAGTACATCCCAGTGTGCCCCAGTCCAGCCCAGTGTGTCCCAGTACATCCCAATGTGTCCCAGTTCACCCCAATGTGTCTCTAACCCTGCCTTTGTCCCCAGCCACCCATAGTTGACCTGGTGGAACTGCTGCGCGAGTAACGCTCGGCTGCCTCTCTGCGTGTCCAGGTGAGAAATATGGGAGGGTCCTCAGCCCCCCAAAAGAACCTGGCAGGGCCCTGGGGGGT